TGCCGAGCCACTATTGGTGTTTCTAAAGTGTACTGTTGTTTGGTGGGCCCGGGCTGGGGATTCGAACCCGCCACCTTAGGTGTATGTGGCTGGCACCTTAGCCGCTTGAGCCACAGGCACCGAGCCAAATGTTTAAATTCTTCTGTTCTATTATCCTTAAAATTGTTAATTAATTTATTATTTTTGCATTTTAGAATGGCTATCTTCTGTGTATAAACAGCAGTGGCTTGCTATGCTCCGGGCAGAACAAGACAGCGAAATGGGGTAAGTATATTGGATCATAACATCATTAAGAAAAACTTCTGTGGCTGGGTGTGGTGGCTCATGCCTGCTTATAATCCTAGCACTCTGAGAGGACAGGGCTGATGAATTGCTTAAACTCGGGAGTTTGAGCCCAGCCTGAGCAAGAACAAGACCCAGTCTCTACTAAATATAGAAAATAGTAGCTAGGCAGGTACCTATAGTTCCAAGCTACCCTGGAGACTGAGGCAAGGATTGCTTGAGCTCAGGATTTTGAGGTTGCTGTGAGCATATGACACCATGACACTCTACCTAGGGCAACAGAGTGCGACTTTTTCTCAAAAAAAAAAAAAATTTTTTTTGCTATTAATTTTAAGCACTTCATTATATTTAAAAAACTCCAGCTGTTGAAATGGAGACGAGATCATGTAATCAACTCACATTCTTATTTTTTACAAAATTATGAATGTTATAAATATCTTTCTGGTCTATTAGATAATATAATGGAATGTTTGAGGTGTCATTTGCTATATTAGGAAAATTGAATACATAATCTATATACTTTGTTTCACCTATTATTATATGATGATTTTCTTTCAACATGTTGAAATATTACTTGGAAGAATGCTTTTCTTATTTATGAATAGATAAAACTAATTTTCTTATTTGTGGTAGTGTTTTCAAATTCTGATTAATAAATAGGTTTTAAAGAATTTTGAATCTAAAATGAATTAAAACTGGTTACAGATTTCTTCTTCAAAAGCATGAAACCCCTATAATATATATATATATTTCATCATAAGGGAAAGAAAATTATCTATTCCTTTAGTGCATATTGCTTTGTAGTTCAAAGAAGTATTTTCATGTTTATCATTTTATCTGATGCTAGCTCCTTGGAATAGGTTGTGTGAAGAAACAATCTGTTAGTATGCAAAAAAGGCCTTAAGTTTATCTTTTTTACCCTGATCTCTTTTAACCCACTTTTATACACCAAGGAATTTTCTAAAATAATGGCCTAGTTATAAGTTTGTATCCAAATAGTAAGCATATGAAAACATTGTATTAATTCATAACATCTATAAGATTATTATTACTCAGGGTTCTTAGTTTCTATTTTATTTGTAATCTATGCTTTTTAAAATTTATTCACAGTGTAATTGTATAGCAGAAATACAGTAAGATGTTGAAATAGAATAATAAATTGATTGAAAACCAAAAAATGAGAGTTAATATAATGGAACTGAAATTTCAAAACATTTTGTAATGTATAGAGTAATTTATAAATCATCCTACTTCCTATGTATATTCAGTCTTTACATTTTGGATGTTCTTTATTTTTCAAGATTTTTCTCACCTATATCCTTACTGAGGTTAGTGTAGAATCTCATCTATAATACTAAGCTAGAATACGTATTCTTACCCTGAGAAGTACAGTCATCCCTTGGTATATGGGGGTTGGGGGAGTGAGGGGATATTCATTGCAAGACTGCTACACATAACAAAATCCACATACTCAGGTGTACAAAAGTCAGGCCTCTATGTATTAGTTTTCTCATCCCACAAATAATGTATTTTTGACCTAGGTTGGTTGAAAAAATCTGGGCCCACACAGTTTAAACCCACATTCCAGGGTCAGCTATGTGTGTTACATTGCTTCTGATGAAATGTTCTCTTCCACTGGCACTGAGCATTTGCTCACTGCCATAGGGCTATTACAGTGAAGAAGATAGTATATTCCCTGGATACTAGGTTATACTCTAGTAAAGTCTCCCTTGAGGGTTCTTCTTGTCCAAACTGTCTTCCACATTGCCAAGAGGGTTATCTTTATGAAACAAATACAATTGTGTCACTTTCTTGCTTTTAAGTATGCCCAGGGACATTTGATGATAGGTAAGAAATTACAGTATTGCTATTCAAGATTATTGAAGCTAGAGGGTGAGGAAATTTGGCTCATTATACTATTTACTTTGATATGTTTACAGTTTTTCATAATAGAAGGTTTAAAAGTTAAAGAATAAATATCTGGAAACTCTATATTATGCGTTAAGAACATTTGTAACTGGCTTGGCACCCATAGCTCAGTGATTAGGGCACTCGCCACATACATGGAGGCTGGCAGGTTTAAACCTGGCCCAGGCCTGCTAAACAACAACTGCAACAACAATAACAAAAAAACAGCAGGGCGTTGTGGCGGGTGCCTGTAGTCCCAGCTACTTGGGAGGCTGAGACAAGAGAATCACTTAAGCCCAAGAGTTTGATGTTGCTGTGAGCTGTGATGATACAGCACTCTACCCAGGTTGACATAATGAGACTCTGTTTCACAAAAAAAGAAAGAAAGAACACTTGTAACCTATAGCATGGCCTGTGGGGATCTTCTTTTTATCTCAGATACCTTTAGTTTCATCTTCTCTTATTTATTTGCACTAAACATGCACTAAACTCTCATGTTCCGTGCGCCAGCTACACAGAACCCCTTGTACGTTTGGCTCTGTTATGCTCCAGTCCCTTTTTATCTATTATTCCTTCTGCCTGGAATACCTTTTGCCCTGCACTGAATTCATCCTCCCATCTCCACCCCAACAAATTGCCATGCAGGTACAAATAATATTTACTCTGTAATGATGTCCCCCAACATCAAGCAATAAATTTGTGCATTCTTCATGCTCTTCACATCACAAACCACACATTATTAATATTATAATTAACCACAGCCGTGGTGACTCATGCATGTAATCCTAGCCCTCTGAGAGGCTGAGACAGGTTGATTGCTTGAGCTCAGGAGTTCGAGACCAGCCTGAGCAAAAGGGAGACCCTGTCTATACTAAAATAGAAAAACTGAGGTAAGAGGATGGCTTGAGCCCAAGAGTTGGAGGTTGGTGTGAGCTATGATGTCATGGCACTCTACTCAGGGAAACAGCTTGAGACTTTATCTCAAAAAAAAAAAAAAAAAATTAACCACATTACAATTACTACTCATGTCCAGTTCTCTATTAGAGTGAGGTCTTGGATGTCAGGGACACATTTTACTAGTTTTATTTACATTGACTTATTTTTTATTGTATTTATTGTATTTGTTTCATTTTTTATTATGTATTATCATATATTATGTCCCTAATTTGCAGGTACTTCATATTGTAAATGAATGAATATATGAAGGAGTATATCACTTCTGTTGTTTGGAATTACCAAGCTAATAATATCATTTATTATTACAATTTGACATAATAGTATTCTTTAGTTGGTTAAAGATTTTATATTAAGTGACTAAGACAAGACAAACTGATAAAATTCTATAGCTATTTTCTGTCAAATACTGATTTTGTATAGTTATGCTATGTGAAAAATGGTTTGCATATGAAGCAGGCAGTATTAAGTTGTAGGTGGTATCAAATCACATCCTATAGAAAAATAGATTTTAATTTCTTAGTAGTTAGACTTTTAAGTATTTTATATTTTTTGTGAGCAAAATTTCTCATAGGTTTTTTTCCTCTTTGGTTTGGCTAAGCTCTAATAAAAATAATCTAGAAGTAAGGGGAATACATAGACGTAAAATCTATTATTTAGCAAAGGCAATGGACTAGATTTAATCAATTCTCATACCACAAAATTCTATTTTTAAATGTAGTAGTGAGATTTTGTGTTCTTTTTAATTCCCAGTTATTTTTCAGTTACTACTTGCCTTTCTGTGTGGGTTCATGTCTCATATATATTTTTAGGCCTCAAGAAATCAATAAAGAAGAACTAGAGGGAAATAGCATGAGGTGTGGTAGAAAGCTTGCCAAAGATGGTGAAGTAAGTATGGTTACGACTCTTAATATTCTCATACAGATTGTTGTGTTATCAGTGCATAATGTGCATTAGGTAACAGTGATACCTGTCATACCTCAGAAGATTATGTGTGTAGCATGAACTTCTGGGCAAGGAGCTACAGCCACCCTACTCAGTAATGATTGATTTCTCAGCCTTGCTTGAAACTGTTGAACTTGTAGATCTTGAAGGGTCCAGATAAAACATATAAGAAGAGGATCTGATCTTAACAATCCAGAAATTAAGATACTCTCCCCTGCTGCATCCAGACATCCTATTTTCAATTTAATTTTTTAAAACAGCTGATTATATCCCATTAAATTGATGTTATAATCCACTAATGGGACATGAACTACAGTTTTAAAATATTTCACCCTAATTGTAATTTTTGTCCTACATTATGCCTGTGGCTCAGTGAATAGGGTGCTGGCCCCATATACCACGAGTGGTGTGTTCAAACCCTGCCCTGGCCAAACTGCAACAAAAATAGCCAGGCATTGTGGCGCGTGCCTGTAGTCCCAGCTACTTGGGAGGCTGAGACAAGAGAATTGCTTAAGCCCAAAAGTTAGAGGTTGCTGTGAGCTGTGACACCACATAACTCTACCCAGGGCAACAGCTTGAGACTCTGTCTCAAAAAAAAAAAAAAAAAAAGTTATTTTATGTTTGCATTTATAATTACGATAAATGTTCAGAGGATGAAAGAGGAGTAGTTGTCTTCTTTATTCCTTATCCTTCCTTGTTTTTACTTTAAGATCTTGTTCCTTCCTCACTCTTCATTGAACCAGAACTCATTAGAAGCAAATGTTCCCTGCAACACCACCTACCACCCATGTTGTGGCCATCATTCACTGCACTGGGCTCACTGGCTTTCTTTATCACTAGTCTGTTATCAGTCTTGGTGATTGTAATATTTCTGTAACTTGACCTTCCCTACTTCAGGTACCCATTTCCATGAGCATATGGAAATGCTCAATTTCTGTATTGCTACTTACTCCACTGCCTTCAAAATCTCCATTTCAGGCATTCCATTCTCAGATTTCACTTCCTCTTTCTAGCTCACTCTCTTTAGAACCTGGACTCCCAACAATTTTTTAACCTCCGTGGAATGTACAACACATTGTGCTTATGACCTTTTCCTATCACCTTGCTCATATGTCCCTACTTCTTTCTTTACCTTATATTTTGTTTCATCTTAAAACTGATCTCTTGCTTATCTTTTAACTTCCCTTTTTCCTCTTTGATTTTGTTACGTTCACCTGGCTAAACACCAACTCTTATTAAACACCATCTTTCTCCTTGCCTGCATCCAGACACATAAATGTGACTGAAGACAAACATCAAATCCCACTTGAATGTTGTAACCATAAACTTCAAGCAGGTCTTTAGTGCTGTATCGAAATTTCTCCTACTTTTCCGTAATGAATTTGTCCTCTCACTATCTGAGGTGACTGAGACCTTCTTTCTTCAAAAGGGTAGTGCTACCACCCTTATTCTTGTCTGATGGCCTTGCTTATTACTGCAGTAGGAAGAGAACCTGTTCATCCTCTTACCAATAGTTCTTTCTTTCTTTTTTTCCTTTCTTTTTTTTTTTTTTTGAGACAGAGTCTCACTATATCACCCTTGGTAGAGTGCTGTGGCATCACACATACTCAAACTCTTGAGCCTGAGCGATTCTCTAGCCTCAGACTCCCAAGTAGCTGGGACTCCAGGCGCTCACCACAATGCCCGGCTATTTTTTGGTTGCAGTTGTTATTGTTGTTTAGCAGTCCCAGGCTGGGCTCAAACCCACCAGCCTTCGTTTATGTGGGCAGCACTCTACTCACTGAGATATGGGCACCGAGCCATTGCTTACCAATAGTTTTGCCAGTCTACCTGCATCCAGAGCTGTGTGCTATACTTTTCCCTGATTAGAGTGATGAAGTATCTGTTTCTGTTGTGGTCCTCCTTCTGCTTTCCTTGTACTGGGCCCCATCATGCTGACCTTTTGAAAGGCTTTGCTCCTATAGTTACCACTTTCCTCTCTCCACAATATCCATTTTTCTCTTCTACCAGATCATTGTCATTTAGCATATCACATCCTGCAATATCACTCATGTTAAACTTACCTTAAACTAAATTCTCCCTCTAGCTACCAGTCCATTTCTCTGTACTCCTTTTAGGCAGATCTCACTGAAAATTTGCCTGTATTTATTGTCTATACTTCCTTTCGTTCTGTGCCTTCTTGACTCATTCCAGTTTATTGGCACAGCTCCCCTGAAACTGCCATGCTATTATCACCACATTGCCAAACCAAGTTGTCAGTTTTCAGTCTTCTGAAAGCTCTTGACAACTTTGACACAAGTTTTGTTCACTTATTCCTTATTGAAAGATTTTCTCCACTTAACTTCCAGGACAGCATACTCTGCTGGTTTTCTTCCTACTTCATTGGCTGCCCCTTTTGCATCTTTGCTAGATCTTTCTCTTACTCGGTGAATTTTGGTATGATTAGAAGATCAGTTCTTAGACTCTTCTCTATCTCTACTCCTGAGTGATCTCATCTAGTCTTCTGACTTCATAGCCCATTCACACACTAATGAATCCTAACTTCAGTTTCATGTATCTCTTCATTTAGTATCTTTTGTGGATACCTAATAACATCTCAAATATAACAGTCCTAAACAGAACTGGTTTTTTTTTGTTTTTTTTGTTTTTTTTTTTTTTTGAGACAGGGTCTTGCTCTGTCACCCTGGCTAGGTCTTACTATGTTGCCCAGGCTAATCTTGAACTCCTAGCCTCAAGTGATCCTCCAAAGTGCTAGATTACAGGCAAGCCACTAAACCAGCTCTAAAGCAGAACTCTTAATTTTCTTCTCTAAAACTCTTTCTTCCTAAGTGTATTCTCCAACCCATGGAGAACTCCTTTGTTCATCTGTTGTATAGGCTTCAAACTTTGGGTTCATTTTCGACTCTACTTTCCTTTACCTTATTATTGGTGTCTATAAGAAGTTCCTCAAGGCTCTTTGGATTAATTTTGGACTCTTCTTTCTCTCATACCACATTCTAGTATGTGTCTATAAGTGTCTATAGTATGTATGTGTCTTCTAGTGTCTATAAGAAGTTCCTCGAGGCTTTACCCCCCAAATACATTTTCGTTGCGTATACCATTAACACCTAAGGGTAGGTCTCTGTTCTCTTTGCCCAGGCTACTACATAATTGTTTAGCCTTATACTACATAACTGCTCTCTATATTTAACTCTCACTCCTTTGCATTCTGTTTTCCACACAACAGCTAAAGTACTCACTTTGTTTTACTTTATTTTTTTTGAAGTATTCATTTTAAAATGCAAGTTAGATCATTTCATCCTTCCCTAGAATCTTCCAGTAGCCTCCCACCATATTTAGAAGAAATACAGACTCTTCCTTACTATGGACTGCTAGACCCTACAAACCCCTAACTGCCTCTGTGAACTCTTCTCCAGCTTCTCCCCCTGTTGATCACTGCCCTAGCCACATAGCCCTTCTTGGTGTTCGTCAGATATGCCAAGCATGCTTTTACCTTTGGAGTTTTGTGCTTGCTGTTACCTCTGTGTAAGATAATCTTTTCCCAGGCTATATGATCTACTTCTTCAGTTGACTCAATTCATTACTCACCTACCATCTCTTCAGAGAGATATTCTCTGATCACCTGTCTAAACCAGCAGGATCTGCAACTGCAAATTCCGTCTCTCTACTCTGTCACTCCCTCCTAACATCCTATGCTCTTCTCTTCCATTCCATTTGTCTTTGTGTCTCCTACCTCACAAACGTACACATTGTAGAATATAAATTCTACTGGGGCAGAAACAGATTTACTACTATGTCTCCTCTGCCTAGAGCATCTCTTATATATAATACATGCTCAGTAAATGTCAAGTAAATACTGAATTAATATTATCATACAGGGTATCAACAAAATACTTGAAGCCTTAACTTTATTTCCCTATACCAGACTAACTTGCCTGATACTCATTAACTAATAACTGATAGAATAAACAAGCATGTAAATCTGAAGATTATATTTAAAATAATCTGTTTATGTGTTTGTTGGTTACTTAAGGTATGTTATATTATTTTAAAAACAAGGTAGATTTTAATAGGTCCATATTACCCTATCTGGATTCCTAGTGCCCTAAGCTATGCCTACTTAGAGTTGCAATGAAAAATGTTATTACTTTTGATAGAATTGCAGTGTGGAGAGCGAAATGAAACAGATCATGAAAAGGCAGTATCAGGAAAGTAGTTTAAAGAATTATAGTCATAAAGTCTGCTTTTTTGGCTTAGATATACTATATTTCTGTGTGGTGAGCCTTAAAGGAAAGACACAAAAAGTAGGGAACCCAGGGGAAAAAAAGACATTTTGAACTTTTAAATTTTGACTTGCTAATATAATAAATTGCTGAAATAAGTCTCTCTTTTGTATTTCTTAGTACTGCTGGCGATGGACAGGTTTTAACTTCGGCTTTGATCTACTAGTAACTTATACTAATCGATACATCATTTTCAAACGCAATACACTGAATCAGCCATGTAGTGGATCTGTCAGTTTACAGCCTCGAAGGAGCATAGCATTTAGGTAGGATAAGATTTCTCTTCCTCACTCCAGGGGAAATATAATAAGTAAAAGAAATAAAACTTTGATAATTTACACCAACAACTTTAGAACTTTGATAAGATACAGTATAGGGAAAATAGTAGGAAATGGTCAGGCTCCATTTTTATGAAATATATTATTAATCAAAATCATAAGATTTAGTATGTCAGGGAGAACTGACATACTAGAGGGAATGTTTAGACAGGGAGAAATATGCTGGAATAAATACTGAATATGGAGTATCAGTCCTGAATGATACAGGATTGATACTCGGCTTGAAGCTGATTCTTAGCAAATAAAAGGTTCAAACTGAAAATATCATAAGGTATTTTTCCAGGAAAACATGTCTAGTATTTTTGATATATCTAACTCTGCCTGATAGTTAAGCTGGTAGTCTTTTTCTAGAGAGCGTGCTATAGGCTGACAAGTTGGATAATAGCTTAAAACAATTGTATACCAGTGGGGAGTGGGTCAGAGAATGACCCCACCGTTTTGTTATTATATGTTTGTTTATGTGGGGAGTTAGGGTTTCATCATTTAGGACTTCTGTTATTAGAACCTAACCCACTTTGCATAAGCACTCTTTGATCAGCAGTTGTTGGAACTTATTGGCAGCAAAGAGTTGCCCTATCTCAGAATGGCGCTGGTATGCAACTTTAATGAATAGATTGTTTAGAAGTTATACATTTATGCTTTACACCAAATACAAAAACCTAAAAAGGATCAAAGATCTAAACATAGGAACTAATACTATTGGAAAGAAAAACTCTTAGGAATGAGTTTCCTGGAAAGAAACTCTTGGAAGAAAACATAGGGGAAAAGCTTTACAACATTTGATTTGGTAGTAATTTCTTCCATATTACACCAAAGGCACCAGCAACAAAAGAATAGATAAATTGGACTTCATCAAAACTGAAAACTTTTTTGCATCAAAGGACATTATCAACAGAGTGAAAAGACACTCCATGGATGGGAGAAAATATTTACAAAGCCTGTATTCAATAAGGAAGTGATATTTAGAATATATAGAAAACTCTGCAATTAAAAAAATAAACTTGGCCAGACACAGTGGCTCTTGCCTATAAATCCTGGCATTCTGGGAAGCTGAGATGGGAGGATCCCTTGAGCTCAGAGTTTGAGACCAGCTTCTACTAAAAATAGGAAAAATTAGCTGGGCTGTGGTTGGTACCTTTAGTCCTAGTTACTCAGGAGGCTGAGGCAAGAGGATCACTTGAACCCAGAAGTTTGAGGTTGCTGGAAGCTAGCCTGTAGACATGGCACTCTAGCCTGGGGCAACAGAGTGAGACTTTCTCTCAAAAAAAGAAAAAGTGATTCAAAAGTGGGCAAAGGGGGTGGTGCTGTGGCTCAAAGGAGTAGGGCCCTGGCCCCATATGCTGGAGGTGGCGGGTTCAAGCCCAGTCCCGGCCAAAAACTGCAAAAAAAATAAAAATAAAAAAGTGGGCAAAGGACTTGCATAAGTGTTTCTCCAAAGAAGACATACAGAACAGGAAAAAACCTCAAAGTTAATATAACAAGTGTTGGTGAAGATGTGGAATATTTGGAGCCTTTGTACACTGCTGATAGCCATGAAACATGGTGTGCAACTACTGAAAACAGTGTGGTGGTTTCTCAAAAAAAGTTAAACCAATCCACCAATTCCTCTTTTGGATATATATACCCAAAAGAATCAAAAAAATATGGACTTGAACAGATATTTGTATGCTCATATTCATAGTACCATTATTCATGATAGACAAAAAGTAGAAGCAACCCTCATGTTTATTGACAGATGAATAGATAAACACAATGTGGTATATATACACAATGGAACATTATTCAGCCTTAGAAAGAAATTCTGATAGCCAGCTGTTGTGGCGGGCACCTATAGTCCCAGTTACTTGGGAGGCTGAGGCAAGAGAATCACTTAAGCCCAAGAGTTGGAGGATGCTGTGAGCTGTGACACAGCACTCTACCGAGGGCAACATAGTAAGACTTTGTCTCAAAAAAAAGAAAGTCTGAAATACACTAAACATGAAGAAGTTTTGAAAACATGCTAAGTGAAACAGTCGCAAAAGGTCAAATATTGTAAGATTCCACTCATCTGAGGTACCTAATGTAGGTAAATTTACAGGGACAGAGAGTACACTGGTGGTTGCCAGGGGATGGGGGAGTTAGTGTTTAATGGGTACAGAGTTTCACTTGGAGAAGATGAAAATGTTCTAGAAATGGATTTAGAACAATGTGAATGTATTTAAAGCCACAGAACTTTATACTTAAAAATGATTAAATGGTATATTTGATGTTATATATACATATATATTTTATCACAAAGCATTTATAAATTATTTTTGTATCTCATATGTGTATAATAACATAGACTTGTAAATCTGAATGGAATCAGCTCAGAGGTTAAAAAGACTTTCTAAAAGTCTTTTATCAAATAAAAGATCTACAGAAAATATGGAAGAGGAAAAATATTAAAGTGAGGGAGGATTTGTTTAATCTGTGACTTGAAAAAGCTTGTGTTTTTTAAATTTGTTTTTTTTTAATCCTAGATTACGCTTGGCTTCTTTTGATAGTAGTGGAAAACTAATATGTAGTAGGACAACTGGCTATCAAATACTTACACTTGAAAAGGATCAGGTATGTTTGATTATTTTTCTGTGATGTCATTATATTAGTCTTTTGAATCTCCTTTTGAAAATTCTTAAGTAGAATTAACATTAAAATATTCTTATTTAAAGATTGGCTTGAAAGTTTTTTGATGGTACAAACTTCAACTTAATTTCTACATACTTACCCCGTCCCACTAGATGCATAACCGGGACAAAAAAGAAATCATGATTTCAGGAGCAGAGAAAAGCTGATTTGTAAGGAAATAATCATTTATCCTGAATATCATCTTCAGTTATGAATCTTAAGTGCTTTATACATATAAATAAATCCACATAAGTGCATTTATTTATACATTAATAGCAAACATCTTGAAGATAATCCAGTATGTTTCCGTAGTTCCTAAATATTGCAAGATCATTATTCTCTAGCATATTAGGTTTGTAAAATAATAAACATCTGTAATATACCCCACATTATCGCTAAATTCATTTGTTTATACATCACATGCATGTAGAAGTTTCAAAATGCCATGAAAATAAATGAGAGCTGTTAAAATATTTAACATGTTCATTAAAACCCCCATTCCAAAGGGCATAATATTTTAATAAGGGTTTCAGGGCCTATTATATACTTCATGTAATTTTTGAGACATAAGCAGTTTCCTCAGACTGACCATTGTACTCTCACATGAACTGTATGAGAACTCCTTTAACAGCATTCTCCAGCCATTGTTGGAACTCCAGCAACAGAAGAGCTGGCCATCTTTAGTAGCTGACCATCTTTAGTTTCCTAGTAGTAGGAATAGGAATGTCCATTTCAAGGCAGATACATAATGAAAAGGTTCAGTTCTGCCTCTGCTGGAATTCTCTGTCCTTTTATGCTCTCAGGAGCTGAATTGACAAGGAATATCTTGAACTCTTACCTAAAATTAAAAAACAAAAAAGAGTCACAGCTCAAAGCATCCAAAGACTTAAAAAGCACCAGGCCAAGATAATACTTATATCAGATGTTCCTTCAGCAAACACTAAAGTCTCCTTACTGTATGCTAGGTTCTGTGCTAGGAGTGGAGGAAATAAAGCTGGGCTCGTGTTGATATAACCTAGCATAAGCAGCATGATAGAATAAACTCACAGTGATGTGCAACATTGAATGAAAAGTCTGTAACTTATACTGTGCAGTTGAAAGTGGGTGTGGTTATTGGGGGGTGGGGGAGACAGCCTAGGAGAAACCCCCCTCTCCTCAAAAAGTTGAAAGTGATTAGAGGGCCAGTCTAGGTGACTCATATCTGTGATCTAGCATGCTTGGAAGGCTGAGGTGGGTGGATTACCTGAACTCAGGAGTTTGAGACCAGCCTGAGCAAGAGTGAGACCCCTGTCTCTAAAAATAGCTGGGCGTTGTGCCAGGCACTTGCAGTCCCAGCTACTTGGGAGGCTGAAGCAAGAGGATCACTTGATCCCAAGAGTTTGAGGTTGCTGTGAGCTGTGACACCAGGGCACTTTACTCAAGGCAACAAAGTAAAACCCTGTCTCAAAAAGAAAACAAAATCATACATATACCATTCAGAAACATTTTTTTCTTCAATTGTATCTTCCAAAAATGGATCTTACTGCTATTTTATAA